CTCCTCAAAATCTGTGGCAAGATTTATTTTTATGGTTGGGGGTGGAAAGGGTGCTGGGAGAAAATTGCCCACAAGGATGGAGAGAGTCAGGTGAGTGAGGAGTACCACAGGGGTGATCACAGTGATTTTATGGCAGCGTAGCAGAGCAACAGCAAAGGGAGCTGAAGATTACAGCATGAAATCAATAACCAAGTGGTGTCACAGTGCAAGGAAGATCAGTGCTTCACAGGTAAATGTTTCAGTTAAGTTACCTATAAATTCATTGAGATCAAGAAATCAGGTTGAAAATCTACAAGAAAAAATGAGGTTGAAATGGTAAGCCTTGAGGTAGAGGAATGGGAGCAGACGAATATAAAATAATAGTGTGATATCAGGACAAGGGGAGGAGCAGATTGCTGAGTAACTGGGTGTATTTTTCAAATAAGGCACAAATCTTTCTTTTTTTCTGGTAAGTTTATACACAGCATCATGAAAAAGACACAGTTGGACACTTCAGGCGTGTTGAATGCACATCCCGTAGGACGTGGCAATCGAGGATGGTGCTCGAGTTGGACAAGTTATTTTCTCAGCAACCTGTTCAGAGTTGCTATTACAGGCCTCTGGGGCAGGTGGAACCTGAGCTGAAGCCTCCTGGCTCAGAGCAAGGGATGCTACCACTGAACCACAGGAGCCCTCTTGTGCTGCACAATCACATCCACAGGAATTGTCATCGGCCGGAGCCCCTTGAGCTTCAGCGCCTGAGCAGGAGCTGACATCCTACGGCTTAAGAATCTCCAAGTAGAAAGGGAATGGATGGCTGTCTGAAGAGAACCAGGTAGGAGTCCCAATGCATCTTTCGTTTTGATTGGAAATGTTTCTTTAAGTATGGGTGATAGCAATGCAAACTCTGAGCACCTTGGTAACTGTTGTCCAGGGAAACGAGGATAAAATTCAGAATGATGCTAGGGAAAGTGGAATCAATGTTTGAGGGAATAACTAAAGTTTGCTCTGGCCTCAGATACAAGGAGAGTATGTTGCCTCACTGTTGTCCAGGTCACAGATATCACTGAACAGCCACAGACCACTCTCAGGGGGAACAAATGATGTGGGAGCTTGGTCAGAAAAGTAAGAACCCATGGGATCCTAGGGCATGTGACCAGTTAACTTTGAGTTGGTCAATGATAGGAAGCAAAGAGTAATGGGTAACAGAGCTTTTGTGATTGGAAGGCTGTTTCAGGAGGGTTCTGCAGGGATTCTGATTCTTATTTTATGTGTCACATATCAATGATGGACGGGACATGATTAAGAAGTTTGCCGTTGATATGAAAATTGATTGGTAGTGAGGAAGAATGTTGAAGGCCTTAGAGAGGTTACCACCGAACTGGGAGAAAACTCGATGGAGAAAAATGACGGTAAGCATGCAGGGAAAAAGATAACGAACGCTGGAATACTGAGAAGGAATAGAGAGACTGCGAAGTACATGTCCCCTGAAGGTAACAAATGAGGTCCAGCAGCTACAAAGAAGGTCAATGGGATCGCTTATTAACCAAGACATAGAATATAGCAGCAGAGAGCTTAAGCTCAAACTGGGTCAGCCACTGGTGGAAAACTGCAGACAATACCATTTACTGGGTTCCTGCAAGGATTTGATCACAGGGAAAATGTACACAGAGATTGACAAAACTGTCACGGGAATAAGAAACACAAGGAAAGATTGGAGATTGGAAACACGAGGCTTATTTTCTTTGGAACAGGGGAGGTTGAGGAGATATTTAATTGAGATGGACAAAGTGATAGGCAGTTGAAAGAGAGTGGACCTATCTCCTTTGGCAGAGAAATCATGAACCATGGAGTAGAAATTTAAACTCATTGACAGAAGGATGGGGGACAGTTGAGGGAAAGTAGGGATCTGGAACTCTCATCCTAAAGGTGTGATGGAGCCAGTAATCCTAATTGCTTTCAAAACCAAACATTGAATCTACATTCGAAGTGTTGTCATGTACAGAGCTGCTACTGGAAAGTGGATCGATTTGGATAGATCCTTCTCAGTTTACACAGACATGATGTACAGAATGGTCTCTATCTGCATTGTAAATGGTCTTTGTTTCTATGCTTCTGTTTCATTCCGCAATGAAATTGTATTCAAACCACAATGAGCGGTCAGACTGATCACAGCATGTTGGAGGTTTATTGCCCCCACTGCAATCCATACTGAATAAAACACAGTCATTTAATGGAACATTCATACCAGTAAGACAGCAAACGAGGTCAAGTGGTTGCACTTGCAGCTGATGTTATGAGGTTGAATTTCTGTCGTACAACCAGACTCACTCCAAGTGCCAAGACTTGTGCTCCCTGCAACGAAAAGTTGGAAAATCAGGCGCCAACATTTCCTCCTCAATCCGAGAATTTAAAAAAGTTTTTTTATTCATCAAATGTTAACTCACCCTTTTTGAAATCCCAAAAGACACATTTTGCACTTGTCTTAGTCTAAAATGAAATTGATGAACATGATAAAGGACATGCATTTACTGAAATAATTTATTTGGTCCGTTGCATCACCAAGAATGAATGACTTTTTTCCTTACCGGTAAGGTTGTATTCTGAAAGACAATAATCACTGGGTCTTGGAGATTTTCAATGGTGACATTCACCACTTCTATTCCACTCACGAGATTGTTTAATACGGTGCTGTTATTTTCACTCTGAAGACACAAAACAGCAACAGTCATGTATACTGACAGTTAAGGACTGCGTAGTTTTTTAAGATAGGAATTCGCATTTCTTTTACAGGATGAAATTTGATTAAATTCATGTTGACAAACCTCTTCGCAGACATTTGGTCTTATTGGTATTACAGGAAGTGAAGCAGAAGAAGAAGCATTTCTGAATGGAATGTGTGTGCAGCCGGCATGAAATTGCCCACCCAAACAAGACACAGGCAGCGTAGTTTGGCATAAACATATTTGGATTCATTTGTAGGAATGTCCCCACCAACATTCCAAAAGGCTGATTAAAACGGTGTCCTCATGTCTTCCTTTCACCTTTCAACACCTTGTTTCTGATCCAACTTTTCAACTAAGAATCTCTTCCTGCAGTCAGAGACTATTTTATCTGAGGTGCTGAACACCGGTCGCAGAAAAGTTCATGTAGTGTGGATGGAAGTAATCTCCTGTTCTTCATACAGGAAAGGAATTACTTAGTTTGCTGCTGCCGGTGTTCCATTTTACCTGACGTCACGTTAAAACTGGAAATGGTTTTGCAATCCCATGGCTTTTCCAATGTTTGCAGCACCTTCACTTTCCCTTACTACAGGAGTCACAATTTCAGCCAGTTTCAAAGCTAGTTAAAACCGTTTCATGCCATACTGCCCAATCCTTTTGCAAGAACAGAACATTCTCAGTATAAGAGCGATTGGGAGAATTGGTGAATATGAACTGGCCAGAGTAGAAAAATGACTAAATGAAAATGGAGTATATAAGGAGGATTAATGTTTGAAAGGTCAATGATGCAAAAGATGAAATAGACTAAAATTGAAAGCATTGTTCCTGTTGTTTGCTTTGTTCTCTGTTTATTTGTTAGACACTGGTATTCTGGCAGAAACACCAAGGTAATGATGGATTTATATATTGAGTACTTTGTGTCTGTTTTCACAGACGAGGAAGAGGACAAAATACCAGTGAGAAACATAAGAACGAGGAGCAGGAGGAGGCATTTCAGCCCTTCAAACCTACTTTGCCATTCAAACAATCGTGGCTGATTCAATCTCGGCCTCAACTCCATTTTCCTGCTGGCTCCCCATAACTCTCTAACTCAGTATTCATTCAAAATCCGTTTCTCTCCTCCTCAAATTTATTCAGGCTACCACATCGACTGCACTCTAGAATATTGAATTCCAGAGACTCGTGACACTTTGAGAGAACAATGGATGAATGAACATGTTGAAGTCCCAGTCAAGAATAAAAACAATTGGATATTAGATATAAACAATTGGGATCAAACAAATCTCTTGAAGTGAACAAAGAGGGTTGGGGCATTTTTAAGAGGGAAATCAGGAGGTCACACAGGGGATATGAGATAGCCTTGGCAGATAACGTGAAGGATAATCAAAGAGATTCTACAAGTACATTAACATCAAAAGAGCAACTAGAGAGAGAATAGAGTCCCTTTGAAGATCAATGAGGTCATCGCTGTGTTGAACCTCAGGAGATGGAAGAGATATGAAATGAATATTTTGCGTCAGTTTCTTTCTTCACTGTGAAGAAAAAGATTTTGTTTGGGTTTGTAGGGGGAGGTTGGGGGGGTGGTCTAAAAAATATTGATGTTTCGAAAACAGTCCACATTGCAGAAAGGAAGTGCTGGAGTTTCTGAGAAAACATAGAGGGTAATAAATCACCAGGACCTGATCAAGTGTGTACAGGACATTGTGGGAATTTGGGGACAAATTGTGGGTCCCCTTTCAGAAATATTTGTATCATCTGTAACCACAGGTGAGGTGCCAGAGGACTGGAGGGAGGTTGACGTTGTGCCTTTATTTCAGAAAATTGGTCAGGGAATTGAATTCAAGAGTCAGGATGTCACGCTGCAGCTATGTAAGACTTTGGTTAGGCCACACTTGGTGTATTCCTTTCAATTCTGGTCACCGCATTACAGGAAGGATGTGGAGTCTTTGGAGAGGGTGCAGAAGAGGCGACCAGGATGCTGCCAGGATTAGAGGGTACGAACTACAGGGAGAGGGTAGAAGAACTCGAGTTGTTCTCTCAGTAAAGTGGTGGCTAAGGGGAGACTTGATAGAAATCTATAAAATTATGAGATGCATAGATAGGGTTGACGGTCAGAATCTTTATCCCAGAGTTGAACTGTCTAAAACTAGGGGGGCATGCATTTAAGGCGAAAGGGGTAAAGTTCAAAGGAGATGTGAGGGGCAGGTTTTTTCATGCAGAGAGTGATAGGAGTCTGGAACATGCTGCCAGGGGTGGTGGAGGCAGATATGATAGGGGCATTTGAGGGACTTTTAGATAAGCACATGAATATGCAGGGAATGAGGGGATACGGGCCCAAGGGCAGGCAGAATCGATTAGTTCAGTATGGCACCATGGTCCATACAACATTGTGGGCCGAAGGGCCCATTTCTGTGCTGTACAGTTCAATGTCCTATGTTCTGAAAGCCTGGGAACTATTGACCTGTGTGCCTGACGTTGATGGTGGGTAAGTTATTGGAAATGATTCTGAAAGATAGGATTTCAATGCATTTGAAGGGGCAAGGACTGATTAGAGATAGTCAGCATGGTTTTGCTCAAAGGAGATCATGTATCACAAACTTGATTGAGTTTTTTGAGGAAGTAACCAAAATGATTGGGGGCAGAGTGGTGGTTGCTGTCTTCATGGACTTTGTGAAAACGTGTCAAAGGCTTTCCTACTCTAGGCTAGTAAGTAATGGTAACTTACTTGGAATTCAGGGTGAGTTTACCAATTGGATACAAAATTGGCTTGAGATTAGGAGAAAGAGGGTAATGGTGGAGGGTTGTTTTTTGGGCTGCAGACCTGTGGTTAGTATGGATTGGTGTTCGGTCTACTTTTGTTTGTCATTTTTGGAAGTTATGACACCAAAATTGTTGGTATCGTGGACAGTGAAGAACGTTAACTAAGAGCAGCACCAATGAGCATAAACCCACTGTCCTTTCTTGGATTCCACTTTGTGGCAAAGAACAACATTTCAAGTTGTTAATTTTATAAATGTGGCAATTACTTGATGTAATATTACCCGACTGTTATTTATCAAATGTATCAACTTGCATTATATTTCAATTATGATTCTGGCTACTTTACCTGGAAAAGTTTTGTATTTCCGTAGATAACAAAAATGATTCTAGATATAAGAGCATTTGTCTGTTCCTTAAATTTGTCCAGAAGAGTTGGAGGCAATTCAATTTCAACATTTAGGACCAAGCTTGAGATATTTTTCTGCTGGATCTGTTTGAGTTAAACAAAGTAAATAAGTTGTTTGTTATAATCGCAGCTGATGATATACTGGACTAGTCAGATTCCAGAGTGAAACCGAGCTCGATTGGCCATAAATTTTATTTTACAAATTATTGGTACCACGGTGATCAGTCACTGAACACATACATAACAGCTTTCTTATGCGAAGTTTAGAATACAAAAGAAACCAGAAATAAAAACATTATACAAATCAGACATTTTGGGAGTATTCCACTGTAAATAGCAAAAAGCAACATTAACACTCTTCCACAACAGTATCTTTCACATACACTT